GCGTCGGTATGTGTCATCGGTAACCGTGCCGGTACATATGGATTAAATCTCGGGCCGCTGGCGCGTGCTAGTAGGAGGCAGCCGGAGGAGAACTACTTCTCCTCACGGCGCACGATATGGTGCTCCGCACTGTACATTAATTTCTATGCGTGTTTCCCACATACACGAAGGTTTGTTAGTTAAATCTTAGAATAAAAAATATCTTATCGGTCACAAAACATGTCAAATATATTCATAGAGCACGAACGCGCGAACCTTTAGAAAACTAATTGGTTTTGCGAAGCGAAACGAGTAGATTTTGTTGTTGACTGGCTTTATTAATCTTGGAGAGAAATTTGCGAGAATGAAATCCGCAAATATTTACAACTGTGCGAAATTTATCGTATTTCCGAATGTTTTCAACAGATCACTTGAAAATACGTTCGTTTTTGTGATCGTACAACACAATTACATGTGTGTAATATATTTATCAAATTTATCGTTTCGTCGGACTCTGTCTTTTTGTAACGATTACGAGATTATTGACGGAAAAAAAAATTGTTTTTCCACATGTTCCAGATGTCTCAAAGAGATGTGTGTAAACTGTTGAAAATTTATATATCATCCCGAGCGTCGTACTTTTCCACGCGACCTTAATTAATCAAGTCGCGAGCGGCAGAATGCCAAGGGCTTGAATCTCGGTCAATGGAAAATTGGTCCGTTGACGATCCTTTAATGAATGTAAATTTAGAAAGTTTTCCGAAAACGAAATCAAATTGTCGAAATTAATTTTCCTACACGGCAAAATATATCACAAAGATATCTGGAAAATATCTGAAATATCAGAATATCTGATTTGCGTAAATACTAGTCAGATATCACTGAGATATCTGATTTAAATCTCAGATATACTTCGCTGTGTGAGTTCCTCGCGATTTGACGAAAACACAAATGTAAAAAATGGAAAAAAAATTATATCGTAAAAAATACACAAGTATTTTTAAAAAGTTGTTTGTTGTTTTACTAATTAATTAATTTTACGTGCGATAAATGTTTGCGGCTATAAATGCAAATACGGCCAAAGAGAATATATTGTACTTCTCCTTTAACTCATGGAACAACATCTTGCACGATAAATCGCACAAAAATAAAGCATCTGAATCAGCTTCTTGGCAGTTTAAGTTTCTTACAAGAGAGGTATTTTCCGATACTTATAAGATAAGTTTTCTCTCTGTATGAACTTTTCAAATATTTGGCATGTATCTATTTATCCGCAATATGAAACAGACTCGATGTGTGTGTGTTCACCAATATTTAATTCTTCTTTTAATTCAAGCGAAGACTCACACTTGTTTATACGCACGTATGTGCGTATAAAAAAAAATCTATCTATTTCTCGATTCAAAAATTGAACGTGTGAACGTACAAACACACTTTGTTACAAAATATCACCGAATATTTTCCAAAGACATTTCAAGTCTACTTATATGACACAGCTAGTGACAGTTTTTGGCAGAAGTTGCGAGTAAAGTTTAGCTCGACGCGAACAAAAGAAGCAAGTGGGGTTCGTATATTGTACGTATATACGACGTATACATTATATTTCGATGCAATGTAAAAAAGAACATGTCGTTTTCTCTCACGTTGAGTTTGAACCGCGTGTATAATACATATAATTAAAAAATACACCGGACTTTATTATTCGCTCGAATGAGATTTCGCGTTCCGCTTGCGACTCGCTGAGCACTCCAGCGGGATCTATTTTGAGAAAGCGACTGAGAGAAACATATACACGATTATTTTAGTTGCAATTTTTCTCTCTTCCAATCCGGCAGAACGCAGGCGGACGACGGTCGTCCACACGAGCATCAACGACGATGACCGAGTACGTCCACTTTTCGTCTGTTCGATGACGACGTTCCGCATCCGTTCTCGAAATCTAGACTAGATGCACGAGAAATCACATTCTTGCGCGAATCGAGGAAACTAGAGATTTTATTTCGATCCGTCGGAATTTCCTCACGGTGACAAGCAATTGTGTCCGAGGCGAACGCGGCTTCGCGTGAAAATGTGGCGAGTCTAGCTCACACTCTCAGTAGGGATCCGCAAACACAATTTCCGCACAAAATCTCGAAAACGTGCGCTTTTCCTATATTGTACAACTTACAATTTTTTAAAAAATAATTTTGTAATATAAATTTTTTTTTTTATATAAATACGCGTTTCCGTTTTTTTTCTTCCACAGGAAATATCGCGCGCGTTTTTTTAATCTGTTGTGATTGTTGTTTTGCTCACGAGTGATGGTGAAGAGTTGTTGCAACAGGAAGACCTTTGTGATATATCGCAAAAGTGATACATGCAAATCGTATTTGTCGTTCGCAATTAACAAAGAACTTTTTTCACGCGCGTCGCTGCTAAGTGGCACCGTCTCGCGAAGTAACTGTGTGAAAAGCTGCTCTTCTCACGTGTCTATTTTTTTTTTTTTTTTGGTTTTTTACTTTTTGCGCCACATTGAGATCTTTCTTCTCTAATCTCGATTGTCTCTCGTCTTCCCATTAATCTCGTGTCGTTATGGATATGCGAAGAATGTCGAATTGGAATGTCCTGAGCGTGGAGGCCGCGCTGCAACAGCTCAACGCCTTCGAAGGAGACGACGATTCGGAAAAGATCATAAGGCGTCCTAATACGGTAAATGCATTTTATCTCATGACTTTATTAACCGACCGATTTACAAAATAAAAAATATCCCATAGTTAGAAATACAAATCACAACTTTTTTTTTTTAATCTCGCAAATTACTATTTTTATCTCGAACTATATCCGTAGATTGTACGAATTGCCGTTCGGTAAATTCAGTTCTCGGGCCGAGATCATTTTTGACCGACGTCACATGTTCGTTTCTTTTCAACGTTGTCACATCAATACGCCGAGGAATGTCAATAGCGCTCTTCCCATTCTGGCCTGATGCCTACCTGCCTGTCTGTCTCAGCTTGCCTTTATTTATAACTAATTAAAGTCAGACTCAGTCGCAAGTGTCGACTGTTCTAGGATGGTCAAACGGTCGATCCGACTCCATAGATCCGAGACTTGATTTCCCGTTCGCTCAGCGCGAGTTTGTCATATTCGATGCGATTTTCACGAAAAAATGCGAGCAAAATTTTTTAATTCGTAGTCGTTTGTGTCTCGTGTGTTGTCACGTTCTCGCTTTCTGTTCTTCTCGTGTCCGTGAAGTTATCTGAGCTCTCTGACTACAATGACTACTTGGACGCAATTAGCTGTGGAGCACGTCAGCGCGATATCCAAAGAAGAATTCAGCACGCATCGCGGAAAATCGACGGTAATAATCCGGATTATATTTTTTAGCTTCAGTCTCACACATTTTATTAAAAAAAACAATTTAATTGACCGGAAATTTATTATCGAACACGAGAGATAAATCAGTTTTTACACACACGCAAAAAACCAGTAGAATACTTCAAAAAAGTTTTATTTAAACAATTCTTGTAAACAGGATTCAATATGTATTACAGTTTACACTACATATTAATATGAAGTACTAGGTTAAGTCCAATACGAGGAGTACACTGGGTGGACGTGTGTTTGAATCAATTTATTAATACCAAACGTTTCGATCCTTGGATTGGATCTTCATCAGTGGTAAAGAACTGAACAAAAAAAGTATACAATAAAAATGACAGTATGAATTAGGATTTTTTCTCGCAAATAAAAGGAGATAACAATAAAAAAAATTTTTTTAAAATTAAAAACATATTCATATAATAAGAAAAAACTGTCGAAATAAATTAAACTCACCGCAGAAAATATAAACGTAATTGCACATCAGTAAGTTATTAGTGATTGTTCAAGTAGTAGTCGCAAATGATGTCTGTATTGAAAATGATATGTCAAAAATAATTTAAAAAAATTTTAAATATAGAAAAATTGTTAAAAAAAATAATTACTAGTCAGAAGTGCACATAAAACCGAACAAAAGCACCAACATATTCAAACCAACAGTGGTACGTTAAAATCAAAGAAAGTACTGATGTACAACCTTCAAAATGAGTTGTTTATATACCCACTGTGTGATATATCCCCACTTTTTTCATATTAATATGATATTTGATATATTAATATATATTTATATATATTTAAATAATTATTAGAATTATGTATGTAAAGACCGAACCGCGAGTGTACTTCCCTACGTTAATGTCGCCGGTTCACAAGAGAAAACATTTTGTATATTTTAATTATATGATACACGCGGGTACCTGTTGCTGGTGGCTCATTAGATGTATCACTTTGAAATCATGCCAGTTATTGCGCGTGGAACACACGAGAGACATTAGGAATCTTATTTCACAAGTAATTTCATTCAATCTGGCGTTGCGAATCTTTCACTATTAATATCATTCTGACACGTTTCCGACTATAACGAAGACAAATGTAAAATCAATCGTCCGTGATGATTTTTCTGAAGATTCCTATTGGATAAGTGTATTTTCCTACGCCTCTCGCACAATTCGTAATATCGTTTGTTTTTAGCGCGAGCTTCGTACATTAAAAATAAAACAACGGATTCTTTATTACACGTATATCACATTTTCAATACGTGTTTTCTTCTCTCTTTCTCTTTACATATATATATATGTGTGTGTATAAATTTGAATGTTTTTATATACATCATGTAAAAAAAAAAAAAAAAACAATTATTTATAAATACACGCTAAAATCAAAACCACATAACAAGTGTTTCTCTCGCCTAAACTAATATCTAGAATTTCTCGAACATCACGATAGAGTAGTGTGTGCAAAACTATGAAACTATATAAAAGAAACCATTGCAATGCAAAATAATGCAATAAACCACAAAGAACGTACGATATAGCACACTAGCTGAATTCTGCATTAACGTGTAACATTTACGTCACTTGAAAAATCGAACTCTGTGCGCACACAATCGCGATACTGAATTTGCGAAAATTGTATCGAAAAAAAATTAGTAAAAAAGTGCAATCGTGAATATCGCAAATGCGCTTCGGTAGCGCAAACACAATATATTCGCGAATAAATATTCGAAATTAAAAAGTTCAACGACCGCAGAGTAAAGTGAGCACTTCTGTGTGTGTGTACGTATGCTTTATCAGGAAATAAAGCATTCATTAAAAATGGAAGGTTTGTATTTCGCGTTTGTGTGAATGCAGACGACAAGGTTTAAAATAAAGTACAGGCAAGCCTTCCAAGTCGTATATTTAGGGCGGCGCGCAAGCGCGATCCGATTAAAAGCATCCGAAGACTTGTGTAGTTTGAGCTTCCCCGAATTTCGCCTCGTGTCGTGGGATTCCGCACAAACCGCATGTGAAAATAGAAAACACCAGTTTCTTCCGTTTTTGTTATACCGAATTTCCCATCGCGTAACAAACAAAAAAAAAAAATAAAAATAAAAAGAACTAGTTAAAGTGCACAAATCGAAGATCCACATATCCAATACTGTGAAAATCATGTCAAATACGAGATAAAAAATCGTGAGCGATATTAACGCAGTGACGTTTAATCAAAAGAGCGAAAATGAAGGTGACCTCGAATTAAAATACCAGTATTGAAAACAGCAGAAAATTAAACATAGTTAAATTAAACATAGTTAAATATAGTATTCCGCATTCTCGTTGTGAAACAATAAAATATAATTCCTGAAACTCGTGAGAAAAATCGACGGAAGTTGAAGAACTGCATTCGTCACACCTTTAATCCGATCTAAAACGTCAAAAGAAACAGCATCATGGATCTCGGCGGTGTGGATGTTTGGGGCCAAATCGCTCTGGAAACGTCTCAGATGTATGTTTCCGAGGGTGGTCCTGCTAAGAGTCGTACTGTAAGTTCTTCTTAATGCAATAAAAAAAAAATGTCAACGCTACAAAATTACTGGTTGACTTAATTTTCGCACGGACATATATGTAATTTATATACAAAGTGTCCGTACAAAGTGAATATAAATGTCACAAGAATTCGATGTGCGAATCTTCTAAAATAGGAATGACATTTCTCTATAAATATGTTATATATATATATCCGGTATCGAGAAGTCGCCTCATCAATATCGTATTAAGTCGCTTTATCGCATCTGTGTGTCACTTTGTGTAACGTTTCAAAATTTTAACACATACAAAAACCGACATGCCTCGATAACAAATATAGCTTGATTTAACGGTACGAGCAAGCTCGATGGATATATTTACATCTATAATTTTGATCTCAACATTACGCGCCAACGTGTGTGTGTGTGAATATTACGCGTCATCAACGATATACGGGAAACACACGCGTGCTACGCAAATTGTACGCTCTCAATTCACGATGATATTCACGCAATTAGTTCTTTTTTAAATTACATAACATATGATCGATCGATGGTTCGCTGTTGAAAAAAAAAAGGCCGCAATATATCGCGCGCGCGCGTCTTATTCTTTCTCGAAGAAAAAATAAATCTGTTTTTAGAAAAGAAAACTGACAATGATACGTTTTTATTTTGCAGACAATAGAAAAACTACCGGATAAAGTTCTCTTGAACGTCTTTAGTTATCTGTCGCATCGCGAGATATGCAGAGTCGCGAGAGTTTGCAAACGCTGGCGACAGATCGCATACGACACGCGGCTCTGGAAACACGTGTCGCTCAGACCGGAAATAAGCGGTCTTCACGTGAACTCGTTGGAAAATCTGCTACACTTGATCAGGTAACGTTAACCCTCGGGGAACACATCTATTTTTTCAATCAAGAAGAACAATATGGGTCAATTTGACCTTGTCCACTTTTTGAGATGCCTACCATTTAAAATGCACTTATCCGATTGGCTTGAAAAAATTTTCGGATATATTTTGAACAGTTTGGAATATGCCTATATATAGTTTTAAAGTGTCGTTAACATTATTAACATTGTAAAAAATATGTTACAAAAAAGCAAAATTGAAGCAAAATATTTTGATCAAAGTCGACGAACAGAATCAAATTGACCCAGTGTGTTCTCCGAGGGTTAAACTTGTTGAAGCTGTTGAAACTGTCTCACGCACGCAGGTGACAAAAAAAAAAAAAAAAACTCGCAGTCGTGTATTATAAATGATCAATTCAATCGGGATATGAAAAAAAAAAAAAAAAAACATCCAATTTTTCGATTATTTGCAGCGTCAGATTCGGAGCGTCGTTAAGATACATCGAGTTGCCGATTGAACTGATAACGCACACGGTGCTGCACGAATTGGCAAACAAGTGTCCGAATCTGACACACATGTTGCTGGACTTTTCCACTGCAATGCAACTGCACGATTTTTCAGAAATGCAGGCGTTCCCCACGAAATTGAAATACATGTGTATATGCTTGTCCGAGGTCATCTTTATGGAGGGTTTTATGAGAAAAATCTACAATTTCATCAACGGTCTGGAAATTCTCCATTTGATCGGTCAGTAAGCGACGGGTTTAGTTTTCTGCGAATTCTTCGCGCAGAATTTGTTTTAAAAAACTAGCAAAGAGTTGTTCGGTCGATGTGAGAAAAATTTATATTGAATGCTTGTTTTGGATCACATACGTATGAATTATTCATTTTATTCCGCTATAAAATTAAAAAAGTCAATTGTGAAAAAAAAAATGCAGAAATCTTGAGAAATTCTTGTAACAAACCGCGCGAAAGGATCAAAATCTACTGTTCTCTACACGCATAGGAACGTACGAAAAGGTCGAGGAAGAAGAGGAGGAAATTTACGAGGTAATCAATGTGCACAAACTGAAATCGGCGACGCCTAATTTACGAGTTATCAACTTGTACGGGATCAACTTCGTAGACGATTCGCACATTGACGCTTTCTCTTCGAATTGCATACAATTGGAATGTCTCGCCGTCAATTTTTGCGCCAAAGTAACCGGTTCGACCATGAAGACTCTTTTTCAAAGAAGCAGAAGATTGACGTGTCTGCTTATGCAAGGAACAAGTCAGATATATTGTTATCATCGTTTTTGATAAATTTATATGTATATATATATTCTATAATTTTCCACTATGTTTATGTACTTTCGTCAATGCTACATTTCAGATCTACAAAGTGAATACGTGATCCAGGTCGAGTGGGAGAAATCGAGCATTCAGGAACTCGATGTTACCGCCACTGACCTGTCGACGGAGTGCCTGATCGACATGCTCACCAGAATTCCCGGGCTTCGTTTTTTAAGCGCCGGTCAATTGAACGGATTCAATGATAGCGTGCTGAAAGCGTGGACCGAGGTTGGAAATCCGCGAAATCTGATAGCGCTCGATCTGGACAGCTCCGACAATCTGAGCGACGACGCTCTGAACAAGTTCTTGTCGCGATACGGCCATCAATTGTACGGCCTCGCATTATCGGGCATGCCGCACATCACCGATCAACTTTGGCAGAGCGTACTGCCGATCATCGTTAACGCAAAGTGAGTAACGCGCAATTCGATCGATCTCTCATATATATTTTTTGTTCGCCAACGGAAATATCGAATCGATTATTGCTTCAGAATACTCGTGATGGGCACTCAAGAGAGACTGGGCGTTAACATCCACGTGGACCAATTGATGGACGGTATTGCAAACAATTGCGCATATTTGGAACGTTTGGAACTGAGATGGGATCCGGAGAACTTGCGATTCTCTGACAAGAGTCAAAAAGCCATAGATATTTTGCGCGTAAAATGCATCAAACTTAAGTGCCTTAGTTTGAGGTAAGATTGTAATATAAATGACACGTACAAGAGAGCCGGTATAAAATACATTTCTATTGCAGCGACGGTAGATACTACGAAATCGTCAAAGCGAATTTCGAGCGAGCCGACAGAATGACCGTAGTCCGTACGACTACTTGTTGCAGGGTGTCCAATTATTATCTGTTAAACAACTACAAAGATTTGATTTTCAATTGAGAGAGGAATACGACAGATGTGTCTCCAGAGATGCGTTTTATTCTATCGCTCTAATCGTTTATATTGATATAACCACAAGTGCCTGAGATACAGATTCAAAAATATTTCTTTATGACAGTATTAACTTAAATAAAAAGAAGACAATAAAAAATTCATATCACACGATCGCACAACAGTTGTAACTTAATATCATCAATTTTTCAGTAAATTTTCCGACTTTTTACCCCGGAAATAATTTCCCAAAATTTCAAATATTTTTAAACAGTTATGACTTAAGGCTCGTTGAAATTAATATACGAGATATATATGAGGCCTTACGAGCCAGGATGTTTGAACAGAAACTGTACGTGTATATATACACACACATGTAACAAATTCAACTTGTAAATTTTTACAAGTGAGTGTTTTTTGAGTTGAAAACTCAATTCTTAAAATCATACGGGATGCTAGATTTGCATCTCACATATGACAGACCCCGGATACCCTCCTAACTAATTTTAAAATATTGCGAAAAAAACTCCTCGGCCAGGAGTCGAACCTGGAATCTCCGGCTTTCCGTGCCGGGGTCTGTCATATGTGAGATGCAAATCTAGCATCCCGTATGATTTTAAGAATTGAGTTTTCAACTCAAAAAACACTCACTTGTATAAAGATTTACAAGTTGAATTCGTTACATGTGTATGTATACATATACACGCACAGTTTCCGCTCAAACATCCTGCGAATGGCTCGTAAGGCCTCACATATATCTTGTTATCAAATATTTTTGTTGTTGACAAAAGTTAGGGTTCAATTACCTCAAGACGCAAGCGCGTCTTTGTCGACGGCCTTTTATTGCTACCCATCATCATTGTTCACGATCAACACTAAAGCCGTGAGGCAAGCGCCAATGACAGTGGTGGCGGTTCGCAGGCTATATCGATTATTCGTTAATTTATTCATACTACTGCTGAGAGCAGACGACGACGACGACGACGACGCCGCACTGGCCACTGCCTGTCGGTCGATTCGGACCTCGCTCGTTCGACCACAACACGCGAGCAGCCACGTTTATATGCCGCGCTATAGTCGATCAGAAACCATCGTCCTGGCGGCCGTCGTCGTCGAGTCATGCCGCTCGCATGATTCCCATCGAGAACCGCCGCCGCCGATTTGTCGCGGATTTTCATCCCGTCCCATATGTCGGACGTCGTAGAAGCCGAGAAGCGGCTGAAAATCGTGCTCGTGGGTGACTCCGGTGCTGGCAAAGTGAGTTTCACACGTCCGAGCGATCGAAAGTGTGCGAGTCGCGCGTCGAGGTGATTGATCCCTTCCTTCGTCATCGTTTTCGTACTCGAAAAGCCGACGAAACAACGCGTGCTGTTCGTTCACTTAAATTTGTTTGCCGATTGCCATGGTGAAAATTGAACGAGATACCCTTTCAACAGGTGACGGTAATCCTCGTTGTGTTTCGTGTTGTTGAATTTTCTTCTTAAAAAAAAGAAAACAACGCGCGTAAGAAAAATCGCTCGATTTTTTTCCGTGAATATTTATACAATCGCATACTTACGTAGACGCGCTGTTACACAAAATATTGCAAATTTTCTATAATCATGATGATTGTGTTTTATATAGTTGAATATATAAATATATATAGTTTGTTCTTTTTTATAATAAATATGTTTGCGTTGTACCCGCGCTCGGAGATTGTGGATTAATGATGAACGTAATAACGCGAGTTCAGATCGATGAAAGCTCTGACCACGAGACTTCGTGTTTCCGGATCCACCGGGGAGATTCTCGCAACATGCAATGTCTGCGGTTACGCTGTTCTCCGCTTTGTCAATGATATGACAAATAAGGCCAATCGGGGCAAGCACAAATATTCTGATCGATGATTTTTGCATCAAATAAGACGAACTATGTAGGTCAAGCGTGAATTTATTAACCTTTTAAGTTTTGTTACTTGCGCATCACACACTGAACGACGCTCGACGTGAAGAAGAAAAATCTGATGTATCAAAAATATAATAATATAAAATTTGCTCATCTATATATAAATTAATATAAATTAAAATAAATTAAAATAAATATTTTACTCTCATAAAATGGAAATTCTTTACTTGTTTCGAATTCGAATTTTTAATTTTGAAAAGATGATTGTATGTAGCTTCAAGAATTTTCAAAGAACAAATGAATTTTGGCTATTGAAGCAATAACACTGTTGTTGGAGTGTATATGTTTATGTACTTTGTATATGTTAACAAACGGATTTAAACATATACACTCCAACAACAGTGTTATTGCTTCAATAGTCCAAATTCATTTGTTCTTTTAATTTTGAAATTTATTTCTCGTCCGAGTTGTCGGTTTCTTCTGATTACTGTGTAACGGTATTGATTACATCAATCACATCCAAGTAATACCTTTGTTATTATCCTGACCGCGCGACGCCTGTCATTTTCGTTAGTTGAGAAAGAATTATTGTTTAGACTAGCATCGTCCAGAAGTTTTGCAACAACGATTTTACCAGACAGTACGTGCCCACCTCGGGCATCGACTTCTTCCTGAAGAACATTACTATTGGTTGTTACAAAAATGTCAATTTACATTTGTGGGACGTGGGCGGGCTCGCATTGCACGGCAACATGTTGGACAAATACGTTTTCGGAGCGCACGTAAGATCCGCAATACAAATTTTTTTGTGTTTGTGAAATTCTTTCGCGCGTTCTTATCGTGTGGATAATCTCGAAATTTATTTCTTTGTAAAATCACAGATTATTCTTTTGGTGTACGACGTCACGAACAGCTCGAGTTTTGAGATTTTAGAAGAATGGCTTAGTCAGATCAAGAATTTTATCGACGCTTATGACGAACCGCCTTTGATAGCGATTGTGGGTAACAAATGCGATATGGAACATCAGAGAACGGTCAAGAGGGACAGGTCGCATCGATTCGCCGCGGAAAATGGATTTCCGTGTTACGACATGTCGGCGAGAACGGGTGAATCGGTAATTCTTATCTTAAAAAAAACAAATGATAGAAGCATACGCGCGCGCATTTTTCGTTTCTACGAAAATAAAAATCGTTTTGACGTTTTTTGTTTTAGATACAAACGTCGTTTAAAGATTTTATTGTAATATTTTTTGCAGGTGTCTCTGTCTATAGCAACCCTAGTGGCACAGATCCTGGGTGTCCGATTGACGAGAACGGACCAGGACTTTCACAAGCCCATTATTATCGCCGAAATCGGTGATACGGTAGACATAAATTCGATACACAAGGTCGTGAAAAGAATTCCGAATAAGAAGCAACATCCGATCGCATTTCATTCTCACTTTCCTGCTTCGAAATCCGCGGTGTGCGCGTTGCAATAATCATTTCCCGCTCTTTTCACAACACACTTTTTATTACAAATGTAAAAACAACGATAATATTATTACATGTAATTGAGTTTTATCAAACGTAAAAATTCAACAAGAATTATACCGCGATATGCAATAATAGATAATAAAAAATTTTCATACACGATGTCGGACAATATTTAGATACTACATTGAAATGTATTACGTGCGACACACAAAGTACAATATTTAAACAATTCATTTTGTACGTGTGCATAAACTGTACTGAAAATTTATATATATACACACAATATATAAATAAAAATAAAAATCATATTTGTATAGAGTGGGACCAACAATCTTCTTTTGTGTAGATTTAAGAACAGATTTTTATTGATCACATTTTCCTAATCGTAGCAATATATTGTTATACATACAACATAGATTTATATTAATTGCATAAAGCCAAAAAACGTGTATCTAGGAGCATCGCGTCGACGTAATAAACCAACATACATATATCTATATTTATTGTATATTTATACAACAATGTATCGATAGTTATAAAATAAGTATATATTATGTCATGTCATGTTTTTTAGGAAAATCTAATCACTTTCCTCGAGAGAGAAAAGAATGTGTACAAACACATTGCGTGTTATAATATTTCATTTTATGTCTTATATTGATGTAAAGCAGCCAATCATCCGCTTATGCATGTATATGGCACAAAACGTTATTCACTTAGGCTAAACTTGCCGAACACAATTTAAATTAGATATATGAAAATTAATATATGTATATATAATATATATATATATATATAGTAATTTTTTTTTTTATTGTTACTATATCAAAGAACACATCAGAATAAAATTTTACCTATTCTATTTTATTTATATTTTATTATATTTATATGTTATTATTTCTAGCAAACAAACGTTTATATTTATATAAACTAACAATCATATTTATTTGGTTATTTACAATTAGAAAATACATGTAGGAAGGGCAATCTGTGTGCGTCCATGGTAAAAAGGAGAATTTCATATAATATATATATATATCTATAAAATCTATATTGCATGTTAAATTACGTATCTATATGTAACAAAATTCAAAATAATACTCTTAATAAATTGTTCAACAATTTATTTGTTCGAATGCTGCAAGTCAGGATGCTCGTTTGTTATAATTTGTCAAAACATCTATAATCTATAGCTTAAGTGGAAAACTAGTAATATTCATAAGTCGAGAACACTTATGAAAACACTACTGTTATTCTTCTTCCTAAATAATTATATATTCCCGAGAGATATAAATGAAACGGTATATTCTTGAGATATACATATAAATAATATTTACTAACGACATACGGACGGTGCAGTTATAATATTATTTGATTGTTTTTTTTTTTTTTTTTTATCAAATTACAAATTATCACATTCTGTACAACGATTCAAGATGGAATATTACAAGTTCGCGTTATCATATATTACGTTTCACTGATTATCCGCGCGTCGCATTTTTATAGAATAATATTCTAAAAAATCTCTCATGTTGGTTTTTTTTTGTTCTCATTTTTGTTCTTTTAACATTCTCAGTCTATTTGTATCATTGTCGAGAATATAATCGAATATTCTTGCCTGCTTTGAAAAAAAAGTACCATTTCTCCACTATAAATCAGATTTCACGAGCGGTCTTCTCGGCCACGTATTTTTCTCCAAGAGTTTCTCTTTCACTTCCCACAACTGATTGAGCTTTTCACTCAGAGGCGCGATGTATGTGTCAAGCCACTCTTGTATCGTATAATTGTCGTAAATGTCCTCCATAGCCGTGCGCATTTCCTTCTCGATGTACATTATCTCCATTCTGTATCTATCCAAGTCGATAACTGCTCGTTCGACGTAACTGGGACTCGCAAACGAATACTTTATATTGTACGGTTTCAACCATCCTTTATAAGTGTTGTCCTGCTCCATTTTCGTCACGTCCTGCGTCAAAGAGTAGAGACGTAAAACGCTGGCGTACACCGACGATCCGTGAAAACCGCACTTGGTCCAACCGTACTGAGGTTCCGGTACGGTTAAAGAAATGATGCCGTCGCATTGCAAAATTTCGGCTACGTGATTAGGTAATTCCAGAAAGCTGTTCAGATACGACGTTTGTAGCACGGCTAAATTAACGGCGAGAGAAGGTATTCCGACTGGTAGCAATTCGCAAAGAACACTGAAGTGATCGTATCTCTGCCACCCGGTCAACATCACGCCTTTGAATGTGATCTGACTGGAATATCGCTGAATTATCTCTAACCAGCGAAGATGATTTTCCATGTGATACGAAATATCCGTGTAATATCTGTCCGGTGAAGTAGCGCCTTTGAACGCCGTCGCCACCCAAACTTGCTTCCAGACTGTGGCGTAACTTTCCCAAAGCTGATCCGTCAACGTCATACCAGGATCGGCGGTGTACTTCCAGACAACCGGCTCTATCATTGAGTGCAAACCTCTGTCGATAATTTCCTGCGGCGATATTTCACGAAATTCATCATCCCACATGAGCACAGTCAGATCCGGATATTTTTCTTTGATATACTTGACCACAGTAGACACGTGATCGAGAAACAATTGCCGTTTGCTCCATTGTTTCTTAGCCATAACGTCCAAGCATCTGGAACATTCTCCTATTTGATAAACCTCATCAGCACCAATATGCAGATATTTGGAAGCCGGGTGTGTGGATACAACTTGATTTATCATTTCGTATATCAGTGGAAGCGTTTTGTTGTGAGTAGGACATAATACTTGTGGATAATGCGGAACCTCTCTCAGATCTTTGTATCTGTCTAGTTTGAGAACAAACTCCATGTGACCGAAAGTTTGCACCAATGGTATGACGATCAACTGATTTTTCCTAGCTAGATTTTGCATTTGCGCAATATCTTTCCTAGAGTAAGCATTATTGGCACGGATGTCCTCGATACTATCCGCAAAGGGAAACATGTCCTCGTATTCAACAAGCACACCAGTGGCACCTAGCTTCTTGAGTAGAGGAAATAGGTTACTGTAGTAGCTCACCTTTGGCGGAGCACCTTTCAGATCCAGATGGACAATCTTGTGACCTTTGTAGAGTGGAGCGCCAAACATCTTGTCGTTGGTCAGCTTCTTCCTGCCGTTTTTCCAGTTCTTCATTATCTGTTCCTCGGCCTGCAAAGCGCCACGAGGATTGTCGATATCGTCGCCCAACGAGAATCCATTCTCCGCGCGCACCTGGGCGCCGTTCTTGTTTGACGTAATCTCGTCAACTTCGTTGCTCAATACATGATATATGACGACCAGCAGAATCGAGCTGATCGTCAAAATCACCATCAGAGACGCTCGACCTCGTAGACGCGTCATGACGTCGTGGATCCGCGCGAGCTGTGAACAACTTCGTGGAAGTGGAGAGTTTTATCGCGTCGGCACGTCCATCGTCCGTGAGTTGCGCGATCTCGCGTCTAGACAACCATCGTTTGTTGAATCAGATGTATTTATTATTGTTGAATAATGTGGAGCGTTTAATCGTACACGCTCATTAAAATCGCGTTCTCTCACCTTTTCGGAAGATCGTTGTTCTCGCAAACGGTTGAAGAGGACGCGCTAACGTGGAAGATTTTCAAGTGGAAGATCAGAACGAGTCGCAAAATCGAGACTCGTCGGACTAATGTCGTTAATTGAATTCTTAAAGAGCGTTTCTTAAAGAGAGGCGGCTATATAGAAAACGGATCACGGTCGGTCGGATTTGTGCGGACAGGCGCACAAAAACAACAGATGTCTGTTTTTAGCAACTGCACCCCCTGCACTTTTCTCGCTCCTCTTTCCCCTTCTTTAAACAATCGACCGTATAAATCTCTTGGGCTGCGGTCCGTTTCATGCTTAATCGCGCATTTATCTGTAGTATATGTCACGTATACTATAGATAAATGTGCGCTTAAGCATGAAACGGACCGCAGCCTTGTAAGTGCAAAAAGTGTGACGCGCGCTACAGTATGAGCGTACATGTAATCTTTTTGGATTCTATTGCAGACGTGTTGATTTGTTTAGCCAAAGTTTGTTCTGCTTTCCTTTTTAAAGAACATTGTGGATCTAATTCTTTTTTTTGTTCGAACGACGAAGTCAGAGTTGATACATCCAATAAAATATTTTCTTCAGTTTTGTTCACAGGTGATTTTGTCGCTTCGACATATCGTTTTGTTTTTGATTCACTACTAGACGAAATAGTCTTAGGTGATTTCTTACTCTTCTTATTTTTATTGATCTTAAGTCCTTTAGTAACATCAGTAATTTTTATTTTTACCGAGTTCATCTTATATGCATCTTCTTTATCATTCTCTTCATTCACATCTTCTTCATTGTTACTTTTTATACAGTGTTCTATAATTTTGCACGTTTGTTGATCATAGTTTGCTTCTTTCTTCTCAAATTCATTATCTTTTATCATATATTGTTCTTCACTCTCGATGTCTTTTTTAATCTTTTTTGTTTAAATTTCTTTAAACAAAAAAGATTAAAAGAAAATAAAGAATATTGTCTAGACACATTGTCAGAAAAAAAGAAAGAAGTAGAAAGGACTGCGGAATCGAAACCTGAAATTTCAAAATTAAAATCTGATAAAAAAGTAAAATCTGGCAAACTACAATTACATAATATTATGTTACACAGTAATAGATCAAAATCTAGTTTTGAAGCACAAGATAAAGCTTTAAAAGATATACATACTACAAATTGCATTACAGCTAATGAAGAATTGAAGAAGATAAAAAAAAGAAAATTACAAGATATTGAAACTAATGAAGATCAAGATAAAAACGAGATACCTGTCAAAAAAAAGAAAAAAGAAGGAAAGATAAAAGAAAAGAGTGGCCTGTCATCATCGACAGAAACTCTGAATCGACTTCCAATTAGTGTGATTGTGAATCTTGCAGACGTGCCAAAAAAAAAGAGACAAAAAATTTCACGAGACAAAGAACAAGTAACACCAAAAAATATGGAGAAGTTGATAAAAATAACTATCCCATTTCTTAAAAGTTATGTAACTATAACGTATCTCGAATCAGTATAATAGTAAGTAAGCTTAAAGAACCATAATCCAAATTAATAATTTTTGGAAGCTCGATTCAGTTCTCGCCGATCAACCAGAAAACTCGGTTGAAGATGACCGGCCCGGAAAAAATCCTTAAGAGGTTGTGAGCGGATTCGAACTCGGGACCTCCGGGTTCGCAGCCCCTGCACTCAGGCCGCGAGACCACTGGGCCGGTCAATCAATATTTATATTACTCGTCTATTGTACACAACGCGTCACTGAATCGCGGAAAACGCGCGGGAATCGGGGGGCAAGCGGGGGGGTTGCTCGTAGCGCCAACGAGCGCCGTGCGAACTAACTAGTAGCAATCGGTTGTCCACAACTACGTCGTGTCGATAATGTAACTGCTCTTCCTTCCTATTTTCTTCTCAAAACGTAAAACTATTGGCCAATTACTTAATATTTAACGTTGA